ACAAAAACTACGATAAAACCACGTTCCTACACAGCTGTACGCTTCTAAATACAATTACTTTTAAAACGTCACATATGTGTGCATTCTTGTTAAATGGACTGCACTTGAATTCTGCTTTTAGATTATATTTAAAAAGCAAAAATAATGCTTGTCCTGTTGGAGGTGTTTTTGAGGGAATAACTCATGGCAGTGTGAAAATAATGCAGAAAAGAAACTTAAGTGTTTTTCTTTTCTGTCTTAAAGTTTAATTGGATTTTCTCTCTTCTGTCACGGGCAATTACAGCAATAAGAAATCTAATTTAACAGTGTTATAATAACAGTGATAAGGCCACGGCATCACAAGGTCTTTTCACTTTGCTATAATCACTACAGCAGTAAACATAACCAACATGGTAATATACTGTATAATCAAATGTCCAGCCAGGCAGATTTTTATCACGTCTCTCTCCGACTGTCTCCGGCCAAACTTTTAAGGTCTTCCTAGGTGATGTATTGTGCTGCCACAAGATGAGCTTTGCTTGCATGATTTGGAAATGTGGCCTCAGCAAAACATTGTGGACCTGATAAGACAGAGTTTAATCAAAATGTTTCAATGGCCTCGTTCATACGCTGCAGTCAGAGCGATAAGGATGCAGAAAGTGCACTTTTTGACTCAGGACTGCAGTCTGGGTGAAGTTTATGAATGTTACGCCGGCCTAATCACTGCATCTTAAAACTTCTTACACTGCTGCAGGACAAGGAGGATTTCTGCTGTCCTCTCAACAGTGTCACAGGCATCTCTGATGAGGAAAAAGACTTCAGGGGTCACAGAGGCTTTTTTAAGCAGTACTGCAGCTGGCCACTAGGATAAATCGTATGCTCAACTCAGGTGAAACTCTGCAAAACTGGACCAAAACAGCCTCTTGTCTGTTTTTTGTAGTCTGAATACCAGCTTACACAGGTGGATTATGAGACAATGGGCCCCTGGACAAATATAGGAACAAGACACACAGACTTTGTGGTGGTTGTTTGTCTCTTTGTAGTGATTTTGTATCTCCTTGTTGTTGTTTTGTGTCTCTTTGTTTTGGTCGTTTTGTAGCTGTTTGGGTCTCTGAGGTAATTTTGTGTCTTTCGGATGTAATTTTGCATCTTTTGTAGTCATTTTGTGTCCCTTTGTAGTCATTTTATGTCCCGCTGGAGTCATTTATGTCCCTTTGTTGTCATTTTATGTCGCCTAGTTGTTGTTTTGTAGTCGTTTGGGTCTCTCTGACGTAATTTTCCGCCTTACTGAGATTATTGCATGTCTCTTTGTCGTTGTTTTGTGTTATGTAGTGGTTTGGGTCTCTTTCGGGTAATTTTTGTGTTTTTTGTCGTTTTGTAGCTGTTTTGGGTGTCTGAGGTAACTTTGTGTCTTACGGATGTAATTTAGCATCCTTTCCTTTTTATGTCTCCTGGTTGTTGTTTTGTGTTGTTTTGGTCTCTTTGAGGTAATTCTCTGGCTTATTGAGATACCTTTGTGTCTCTTGGAAATAATTTTAGGTCCTTTTTTTAGTTGTTCTGTGTCTCTTTGTCGCCTTTTGTGTCCCCCTGTTGTTGTTTTGTGTAATGTTGTAGTCGTTTTGGTCTCTTTTAGATAACTTTGTGTCTTATTGAGATAATTTTGTCTCTCTTTAAAGTCATTTTGTGTCTTTTTTAGTCGTTTTGTGTCTCTTCATAGTCATATTGTGTCTCCTAATTGTTCTTTTGTGTTGTTTTCTAGTGGTTTGGGTCTCTTTGGGGTAATATTATGTATTACTGAGATAATTTTGTATCTCTGTAAGGTAGTTTTGTGTCTCTTGGATGTAGTCATTTTGTGTCCGTTTGTAGTCGTTTTATGTCTCCTGATTGCTGTTTTGTGTTTTGTGGTCGTTTGGGTCTCTCTGAGATGATTTTCTGTCTGACTGAGATAACTTTGTGTTACATTTTTGTGTTGTTTTTGTGTCTTTGTAGTCGTTTGTGTCTCCTTGTGTTGTTTTGTGTCATTTTGTGGTCATTTGTGTCTTATTGAGATAATTGTGTGTCTCTTGTCATTTTGTGTCCCCTTGATGTTGTTATATGTCATTTTGTAGTCGCTTCGGTCTCTTTGAGGTAACTGTGTCTCACTGAGATAATGTTGTGTCTCCTTAAAGTCATTTTGTGACTTCTTGTTGTTATGTGTTGTTTGGTATTCAATGAATGAATGATGAATGATTTTATTTTATTTTAGTGTCATATGGCCCATCCTCCACGGGATTATATGACACCTTTGCAAAACAAAATAACAATATACATTTCATATTTCATTACATAAGTTAAATTTCCAGTCGTGCTGGTCAAGCATTTGATAACAACAGCAACGGAAAATCAATTTACAGCAGTACAAAAGTAAAGTTATACATCTACTGATACAATGCTCCCTTTCTCATGTCCCAAGCTTTCTCCAAATACTTTGCCAGTCCAAATATTTCTTTTTCAAACAGCCAAGTCAGTCGTTGTGAATCATCCGCATTTATCCAATCTACCTTAATCTTTGTATTACTAAACAACTCCTCGCAGATCTTCCAATAAAAAGGACAGTACAAGACAAAATGATACTCATTTTCTACTTCTTTAAGGTCACACATTCGACTGTCTTCTTCCAACCCTACATACCTCCCGGTTTCAATATGAAGTGGCAATATGCCTGCTCTAATCTGTGCACAGAGTGATCTTTGTTTCTTTTATTACTTATATTTATTCATTTAGGTTATTGTGTGTCTTATAATGGAAATTTTGTGTCTTTTTTGTTGTTTTGTGTCTCCTTGTTGTCATATTGTGTCACCTTATTGTTGTTTTGTATTGCTTTGTAGTCATCTAAGTTTCTTTAAGATAATTTTGTATGTCTTGGAGGTAATTTTGTGTTGCTTTGTTGTTGTTTTGTGTTGTTTTATAGTCGTTTGTGTGTCTTTGTGGGTAATTCTGTGTCTTTTTCAGTCGTTTTGTGTCCCTTTGTTGTTTTGTGCTGTTTGTAGTCATTTGGGTCTGTTGGAGGTAATTTTATATCTTTTCTTGGTTGTTTTGTGTCATCTGCAGTCCCTTTGCATCTCTTTGTAGTATCTTTGTGTCTCCTATTGGTAGCTTTGAGCCTCTTTCTGGTCGCCCCTTGTTAATTTGAGTGAGATTTTGCAACTGAAGGCCAAGTGGCCCCCTGACACTTTAGGCCCCTGGGTCTGTGCTTGGAAGGCTCGCTCAGTAATCCATTCCTGCCCTCTTAGGCAGTAAAAATAGTTAATCCACACAAGAGAATCAGTCCAGTGATGTAGATTCTGGCAGAGCGATCCTCCTGCTCCCATTTGGAGGCTTGTTAGTGTGATTGCTGTAATTTCCTTTAAGACGTTAAAGACATAAATCTTTTTTTTTCCCCAGTATAAACAAGTTATTAAAATCCTGTTTCTCCAATCGGGGAGCATGCCCTTGAAGCCCCCTGGCATTTTTTTTCTGGTGAATGGTGTCCTCTGTTACATTCCCACCCCTTCCTCTGACAGAGTCTGTTCAAACCATTGGTCCTTGACTTCGTCTGGCATCCCTGTGGTGAAACACTCTGCCCCCAATCTGTGTGAGCAGAGCAGCCAGTTTGTGGGCTCATTTCAAGCTGCAGAGACGTAGATGAGGATGGTGAACTTGAGTGGAATATCTTGTGACTACTTCAAAGATTTTTTATGCCATTTGATGATTACCCTGATGTTGGACTACACAGGAGCCCACTTGTCATTTCTTTTGTACTTTGATCAGCTCAAAGCGACTTCACTTACAGCTGTGTAGTATTCATGATCCATCGCATATGCATGAAATCCTGCCCTCAAGAGTTTTACGAGAAAGGGTCATGTTAGATGTAACTCTGATTGTGACAGTAGCAGTGGCCATAAGTAAGAACAAAAGCCATTTTTATTGGTACTAGATTTTACACATAGGTCAGGCAGGAGGGTCGAATAAATGCACACCATGAAATTGTATCATGGGAAATGTACATTCCTGTCTGAGGTGTTCTTAATTTCTCACTCACCTTTTCTCATTTGTATCGTGCCTCCTCTCTCCAGTGACCCCAAAATGGATCTCAGCACACAGTCTTGAAGGACGTCTCAGTTCCTGAAATGCATCTCTAGGAGAGAGGAGTGAGGAGGCTTACTAGAGGAGCTGTGGGTGAGGATGCACGTGAGGAAAGTAAATATAGTTTTTGTGAACACTGTTACACAAAGAGATCACAAAATACAGCGGTACGGCTCCTCCAGTCTGCATGTCGCAGTACTCTTGGGCAAGATGCTGAACCCCGCATTGCTCCCGATGGCTGCCATCAGTGTGTGTGTTTAGGAGAGGAGCCATGGCCACCAGTGTGTGTGTGTGTGTGTGTGTGTGTGTGTGTGGGGCTCTGTAGTGTAAAAACACTTGTAGTGGTCCGAAGACTAGAAACCATACAAGTGCAAGTCCATTTACCATAATGTGCTGTTACTGTGCTGTTCTCGTCATGTTTAATTGACATTGGTTTGAAAACTTTTGTTAAAATCATGTCTCAATTTGGTAATCACCTGTTGCCTCATCAACTCCTCTCTCCTCGTGTCTCTTTCCTCTGAGGGACTAAGACGAGAAGAGAGGAGGCAAGGCAAGGAATCTAGGATGTACGAACTGAGGGTGTTCCCACTTTCACACTCCAAGAGAACTCAGACCCCTCTGAAAAAACAGACGAAACAACGTTGGCCTGTAAAGCTTGCAAGGACGCAGGACGAGGAGTAGTTTGTTCCACAGAAGATGCCACGTCAAAGTAAAACAAAACTACATCAATATATATTATATATAGTGTGAACAAAAAGAAGACTGAGGCCCCATCAGAGCTGAAGTTGACTAGAAAGAGCCCCTCTCAAGGCCCCTGCAATGCCCCACTCCAACCATCCACCAGGTGCCCTCACACATTTCCACCTGTCCCAGTCACCTGACTCTCTCATCCACCTGCTCACCTGTTTCCATTTTCTCTCATCAGCTCTTTGCACTCTGTCAGACTGCTGCTTTGTGCACTGCTCTCCAGCCATGTGTACCTGGACCTGAACTTCTGCCCTCTGTAAGCTTATAAATCTTTACCTCTCTAACAAATCATTGAAGTGTTCCTGTCAGTCTGGATCGTATGCATCTGGGTCCATTTCCTGTTGCCATGCACTCATCTGCCTGACAGATCCAAAGCTTTTGGAGCTTGATACATACAAGGGACTAAAAGTCTTTATATTGCTGCATTATTTTTAACTTCCTTGCTTCCTTCCTTGTTTCCTTGCAAGTCCCCCGACTTCACAGAAGTGCAAACCCTTTAGGGTTATGTGTAGTCGTCCTTTACTCCTTTGTTTCCCGGGTACATAGAAATGAAGACAAACCTAAATGATTAATTACAGACAATTGTTATTTCTTGATAAGTTACAATATTTGAAGCCTGGTTGTTGTAGCAACACCTATGGCTACTGTTGTGCAGCTTAATACTACATTTCCCAGAATTCTGGGGGCAACAAAGACTTCATGAGTAGCCACTTGGTCAGAAATACAACAAAGGAGCAATGTGTACATCATTTGTTGACAGTGCAGTCGATCAAATACATTGTTTTAATAAGGTAAGTCAAGCATTTAGGCCACAAATTGATGCAGCAAAGGCACAAACTGGTGCATGAACAGTCACAAGAATGCAGAATTCAGTTTTTGACACTCTGGCGGAGGACCCTGGAACCCCTCGTTTCATATGTATCCCCCACAATGTTGAAACAAAGCCCTGGCACAAGGGCTTAGGTTGGTTTCCTTGCTGATAACTTTAATGTGTGGAGGTCTGCAGCTCGTCATCCAACAGCTCCCTGTGTCCGGTCCTTCCTGTTCCATTACTACCTGCAAGATTTAAAACTGATCTGCTGTCAGAAAATGGCAAAAACAGGCATGTCTTTCTTTGTAAATATATATTTGATGAACAGTCGCTGTCAGCGCGAAGGTTGGTGGTAAATACATTGTGTCTCCAGGAATGGTAGACTGTTACTGAAAGGAAAACTATTACACAGTGAGGAAATTACAGACTACTCTGAATGGAAAGTAGTATCAAACGGGGGTTGACCTCATGAAAATCTTTCAGTCAAGTTCACAAAAAAGTAAACAATTTAAAAAATCAACATCATTAAATTCTTACCTGGTGTATTCGAGCACCTGCTATCTGTGCTCACCTTTTTCTCTGAAAACTTCAGATCCAGATGTTCAGGACTTTTTCAGCAGGAGCCGAATTATCCACAGAGGTCTCCTCCTCTCCAAAACAAACAGACTCTGTGATTTAAACGGGTAAAAACACTGAATTAAACAGTTTCATGTTACAAATCTGTGTTTTCCCTGATGCTGTGCAACGGGCTGCTCGCCCAGCACCTGCTAATGTGGGCTCACCTTTTTTCTCTGATAACTTTGGATCCAGATATTTAGGAGGTTTTTCAGGGAGCTTAATTATCCACAGAGGTCTCTTCTTCTCCAAAACAAACAGACCAGGTGATTTAAACCAGTAAAAGCAATGAATAAAGCAGTCTCACAGTACAAGTCAGTGTTTCTCCAATGCTCGATGGGCTGCTAGCCCAGCACCTGCTACTGTGTGCTCGCCTCTTTTCTGATCCAGAAGTTCAGGAGGTTGTTATCGTGAGATGAATTATCCACAGAGGTCTCTTCCTCTCCAAAACAAACGGAGGTGATTAAAACCAGTGAACTCACTAAATAAAGCAGTTTCACATTATAAAAATCAATCAGTACATTCACATGCACAGTGAAGTGGAGCTACGGTTACAGCTCGACTAGGACATTTAATTGGACTACTGTCCTTGTCCCAGTATACAAGCACAGGAGGGGAATTGTTTTATTGACCCAAGTATGTCCGAGTCCTCTACGATAGGTGGAGATGTGCCCCCTCTCAGCTTTTTAGTATTGGACCTTTTTCCTGTTGACCTATTTCGTCACAGACCAAACAATGGACAAACAAGTTAGCTACAGTTAGCTAGCTGTTAACTGGTACCATGGTGGACAACTGTACAGCTCTGTACATTTCGTCCATCCAAAAAGTCACGGCTCTGGATGTAGATTTCTCCATCTTGCTACCGGCTTCTTCTTCTATTACGCATTTAATGCTATTGGACTTCCAGGTCAAAGCCAGGGGCGGAAACTGTAGAGCATGCTCAGAGCGCCTCAGCCAGTTTGGGTCTGATTGACTGAATACATGCAGGAGGAATTCATTTCTCAATCCCATCATCGAGTGTGTTAGTTGGACTTTCGATTTGATTTAGTATGATTTCAGTCGGACTAACATGTTTACATGCATTTTAAAAGTCCAGTTTTAGTCTGACTAACACGATAAATCGATTTTCCCTGATGTCATGTAAACGTAGTGAGTATTTTTCCCGGACTCCTATTGCAGCGAGGCTGCAACACGAAAAAAAAGGAAATGTCCCTCTCTAGAGCCAGTGTTTGGTTTGTCCGTTCTGTGCTACTGTAGAAACATGGTGGTACAACATGGCAGACTCTGTAGACGAGGACCTGCTCCCTATGTAGATATAAACGGCTCATTCTAAGGAAATGAAAACACAACGATTCTTATTTTCAGGTGATAAAAGAAAATATACATATTATATTATATTATATTATATTATATTATATTTCTGGACCTTTTAAGTAAAGAAATATATATTTGTTTTGACAAAAAATACTTTGAGTTGACTTGCTGTTGCATTAGTACAAACTTATTGAAACTCATAACTTCACATTTAGATTTTTATCTTGCTTGTAAAAAGTTTACCTCAGTAAGCTGACAGGAGAGTGAGTATCACCTCCACCTGTCTCCTTCCAGGTCTGATTACATGTACACAGTATGGGTGTATTGTGACTGAGCATTAATCCCACCCCTCTCTTTTTGCTCTCCAGCCTCACAGCAGCACCAGAGTTGACTGAAATAAAGAGAAAGCAGAAGCAAGAATAAAGGTGAGGGGGAAGGGATTTAACAAAGAGCAGCAGCTGATTTAAAAATACAGTAGAAGAAAGATTTGGCAGAAGGGAATCATCTTTTTTTCTGCCTCTCCTCTCCATTACAGGGGAAAAGAGGGATTTCAGATGGGGTTTGGGATTTCTGCCCACTTCAAAGACTTTTTCACACGAGCTGTGACTTTCTTTCCACTCTCTCATAAAACAGACTTCACTTGCAAAGGCCAGCGACATTGTGTGGCCTAACCTCCACACAGCCGAGAATTTAAGCGACACATATAGAGTTTTACTGCAATATCACATCACCCCTGGTCACTGCAACTCCAATGCTGTTGGACCGCACGTAGCATTTACAAAACAGTGTTAACTTTGTACAAAATGATCAGTATTTACTTTCCTCGTAAATTATTTGGAATAGCATGAAATAATGGTGGTAAAAATATGACACCACTGCTGCCTACATTTGTTTATTCTGTTTGTTTTTTTGTTTTCAGTATATATTTGTAATGTGTTTCAACATATGGGTGCATTAATTTGACATTAACATACTGATGCTACATCTCCCACTTTTATGTCTGTACCTGCAACTATAACACTGATAATAATGATACTGCTACGTCTGCTACCTATTGTGTCTTCTTCTCCTGTACTACTAGAAATAATAAAAATCAAAATGTAGTTTTCACATCACTTTAGTTTTATATCACTTTTCAAAATAGTGTCTGAAACTCCTTTACAGCCACGCGGGGAAACAAAAGCAGAAAAAAAAAGTCCAGCTGAAGTTGAGTTATGAGCCCTCATGGTTTGTTGGGGCGCCTGCACAGAGGGAGGGTGTGATTTTAAGGGCGTAGCATGAATTTCCGGCATGTTCTGCTGTCCTGGTGAAGCTCCTCTCTTATGTGGCAGGTGAAGAGGAGAAGAGGCTGGTCGTACCATCTGTCATGGATGTAGCACATGTCTGTCCACACCCTTCCGGGACAGCAGTGGGGTTAGCAGTGAAATGGGTGCAGTGCAGAGGGGAATCAGGCGTTCTAAAGGCTCATTTATTCTTCCTATACTTACAGAAATAGATATGTCTGTTTCAAATGTTGCAAACGTCACTGCCTTCATACTTTCATGGTCCTTCTTGATGGCATAGAGAATGGATGAGAAACATCCACCTACAGAGCCAGAGAGCCACCATTTTTAACATATGCATGCGCGAGTACCAGACCTTCAGTTTTATGTTGTACAGACGGAGATTGTTGAATATATACTGAAGATCATTGTTGTCAAAAAACCTTAGCTTTGCATTCAAAATTGCTTGATTAAGGTGGTCGCTAGCTTACGCTGTCTGCCTAGCAGCTCCTTAATCGTGGATCATTACAGAATATAGCAACTTTGATCACTGCTCATTTTAGGAGGACCAACGCAAGAAGTGTTCTTTTTTTAGATTATCAAACAATCAATCATAGATACTTGTCTCTGGCTGTCAGCTCAAAAGTTGTCCATTTCCACTTTAAAATGTTGATTGAAAACGTTACTGTCTGTTGATACTTTGACTTGGATTAGTACTTAAATGGATGGTCCGCAGGAACAAGTCTGCCCATCCGGAAGACAGGGGCACGAAACCCCCGTGGAAAAACATGACAAGCGGCCTGGCTCTAAACCCCTAAGCAGCCTCCAGCAAACCCCACTGACCTGGACTGTCTTCAGCTCCTCCACTAGAAGAACTAGACAGACAGTGGGACATTGGTGGGGTCTGTTGGCTTTCCTCCAGTGGCCATACACCCCTGGATGTGGAGACGTGGACTTTCTTCCCCAGGGGTTTTGTGCCTCTACCCTCTGGACAGGTGGACTCGTCCTTCAAACCCTAGACAAAGTATCAACTGACATTCTTAATCTACATTTTGAAGTAGAAATAGGCAACATCTTAGCTAACTTAGCTAGCGTGCTAGCTATGCTTGTTAATGCTGGCAGGCAGAATGAAACAATTATGATTCGTTGTCCGATAATTTAAACAAAGAACGCGCTTCCTTCTAAAATGAGCAGTGGTTGAAGTTGAAGTGTATTATTATCATTATTAGTCCAGTCCAGTTTTTTGTGACCCATCCCCCACCCCAACCTGCCTTCTTACAAGCGCTCGGGACTTTCTTTAGGGCATTGGTCACGTGATCGCAGCCTTTCAAAATGCGTGGGATATTTATGAATTTGGGTGCATTGCTTGTTGTAGGAAAACATGAAAATTTTGTGAGAACAGCCTGGCCAAAAACGTGCATTTTCACTAAAACCTTACGAATTAAAACACTGTCTCATGGACAGGCGAGTAACGCACCACCACTGTTGTACGCTGAAGTGTTTAAGCAAAAATGCATGTGTGTGGGAAGTACTGAGCATACGACTGGATAAATAACACCTATATTATTATACTGCACGAGTTTTGAGAGATCGTAAACTGATGTTTCAATATAGTTTTGCTGTTGTTAAGTGCAGCCCCCGTTACCATCAATTCATCAAGAATGTTCGCTGTTTTTGGATTCTTTGTTCTCCAGAGGTATGCGACAAAAACAACATATTAATCATGAGTTTAAGGCACCAAACGGTCAGTAAAAGATACACAAATGGTCAATGAGTACATGAAGTATTCCTTTAACACTTCTGCGACACAGCACCCTGGAACTGTGAGCTTTATGCATCTGATCCTGAAGTAACAGGGTATTTAGGGTGTGCTTTATGCTGAGGTGAGAAGAACCAGTAGACAGTGAGCTGCAGGTATTAACAAAGGAGTGAATGTGGGGGCCAACAGTTGAGGATAAAAAAACAGTTTCAGGAGAAGCCTGGTTAGAATCACGTCTCATGAGTTAGAGGTAGATAGATTTCATGTGAGAGATGGTTTCCTTCCCAGTGGAGAGAAAATTTGGCTCAAATCCAAACCAAATATTCCCTGATACAAAGCATAAGATACACTTTTACACGTGTGCAGCTGCTGCCGCCCTCCTCAACATCAAGCTCATATTACGTTTATTTTGAGTTGACAAAGGCAGATTGTGTTATTATTCACCTATAGGTGCTGTATAGTGTCAAATCAAGAAATAGGGGTCAGACTGTCAGACGTCAGACAAGTAATGCTTCCAACCTGGAGTCCAGACTTCATCAAGTGTCCTAAAATAAACCTGAATGGTCACACAATGCTCTCAACAGCATTTTAAAGTCTTTGTTTGTGAATAAGATTGAGACTCATACAGAGGTCATCCCTCTCAGTCATCACTTAGGACCCACTAGAAGTGGTGTATATTTCTGCCGAGACTCTGCCCTCTACTTGTATTTCCCGACCAGTTACCAGTAAGCAGCACGCATCCAAGAGACACAGCTCGGTGAAAGCAAATATAGCAAGGCGAAAAGCCAAATGAGAGTGATTAGGTATAACTGCAGCTGGAGCAGCTATGTGACCCATCCTCTAGCTACATGACTCGCCTACTATACCTACATATCCAAGCACGATCAGCCCCCTTCGCTCCTTGGCCTGGAAGCGGAAGTCCCGATGAAAATGCTTAGTTAACCATTAGCTAGCCATAAAGTATTATAAAAAAAAAGAGAGGTTGTTAAGGTTAAGGGAAGGGGAAGGATTACATCTCATTACTTATGCTAATGCTAAGCTAGTAATTAGCAACCTATGAAGTATCATGTCAAAAGAAATGTGGTTATGCTTGTTACTTATGCTAATGTTAACTTCAAGATTAGCTAGTTAAAGTATTACAATCAGTCACTCACTTGGCTCAAGCCGTGTTTAGAGATGAATTCTAGTGCAGTGGCGGACTAAACTGTTTTGCCCCTTTAAGGGGTGCGAGGGGCCTCCGAGAACTTCCACTATCTTTAAAATGAAAATAAAGAAAAAGGTTACGTTTTAAAAGTGATTTATTCTACCAGTTTTAAGTAAATTATGGAACTAATTAGACAAACCAAACTTTGCATTCCAGGCTTTTTGAAAGGTACCATTTTTACCCTGACTATGACTCCCCCGTCTACAGTAGCCCAGAACAAACAAATCACCACTGGCTCTAGGGCCACTTAATTTTCACAACTGCCACCATAGTTAAACATACTTGGCACATGGGAGAAGTTTCAGTTGGTTGCAATCTGAAACCTCACCACTAGATGCCACTAAAACACACACTAACAATAAAAAATAATAACAATGGATTTTATTTATATAGTACGTTTTATACAAGAAATACACAAAGTGCTTCACAATATGGGCAGTATGAGTGCTTTACATGAACGTAAAAAATAATATAAAAAATAATAATAAAAAATAATAAGATGAAATAAATCATTAAAAGTTATAAATCATGATATTATGAAATCGTTTTGTAAAACTATAACTTATAAAATCAAGTAAGATACAACAGCGTGAAGTGTAAAAACAAAAGAGTTCAGACCTGTATCAGGAGGTTAGGGTTAGTTAAAGACTAAAGTGAACTGATGCGTTTTTTTGCTTTCTTTTAAAAATATTTAGAAAGCTAGCTTCCCTGATATCTATAGGTAGTGTGTACCATATCGTTGGGGTGTCACTGACAAAGGCTGCATCCATGATCTTCTTCAGACTGTTTCTGGGAACCTCCAATAAACCAACAGCAGATGATCGTGGTGTTCTTGGAGGCAAATAGTTAACAAGAGAGTTAGCTACATAGCTTGGTCTGAGCCCTTTTAAGGAGCAGAGCAGCTCAGACTGGCCTGATGTGCAGCTCTGATATGACGCTTAGATCTGAATCAAGGGAGTTAAATTCCTGAGATTATTAATCAGCATTTCTCTTTTTGTTTTAAGTCCGTCAAGCAGGATTTCAGTTTTGTCTTCATTTAACTTTTAAAAAATGATTGCTCACCAATTTACTTATTGCCAAAAGACACCCTTTAAACAATCCTGAAAATAGTTGCCAATTAGTTTTCTAACTAATTATTTGAACTGCACTTGTTTGTTTTATGTGGTTTGTGAGTGAAAATCTTAATTTGTAAAGTAACTAGTAACTAAAGTTATCAAATATATGGAGTAAAGTACAATATTTTCTTCTGAAGTGTGGTGGAGCAGAGGTAGAAGTGGCATAAGATTAAAATACTAAAGTAAAAGTGCCTTAAATTTGTACTTAAGTAAATGTACCTAGTTACTCTCCACTGCTACCTGATATCATGTGTCTGTAGCAGCAGGAAGTAAATAAATATCAGAGTGTCACAACATGAGTGCCCCACACAATGTCTGCTCTGGTAAACCTACAGTCAGCTATAAATGTTCTGTGACCGCAGGATGTTGGTCTCCATGTCTAATACCTGTCCTGTGTCCACAGCTGTAGGCTCATGTATGACGGAGCAGGACAGCTGGGTGACCGACTCCAGGAAGCTTCTCTGCTGCAGCTGTTAGCCAAGGTGACTCCACAGTCCGTGATGGAAACACCAGAAGCCTGCTCGCTTTACTGGAGGAGGTCCAGTGTATGTAACCTCGGCTCAAACCTCACTCTGAACACTGTGCATCATGACCGTTTGTTTTAGACCTGATTCATCCCTGTGTTGAAAGAAATGATAATATTAACATTGTTCCAGTTGCTTTATAAGAAGAAGAATATTAATTAGACCTTATATTTCCTGGGAAAAACATGTGGGTGGGTAAGAATCACCAGGAAGTATTATGAACGTTCAAACAGTTGTTCAGGTGTTTGTCAGTGCTAGATGATCAAAGGTGGTTGCTATGGTCTCCCTGATTTAAAACTTATCATATCATTCCCAAGATGCTTGATTGTGGTTAGTGTGGTGATTTTATAATTAAAGAGTAAGATTAAGTTTATTAATGTTGCACCTTTTATACATCAGATGTCTCAAAGTTCTTCGCAATAAAGGACACAATCAAAACGCCAGATATAAATGAACAAAACTCAACGGATGAGTCTTGAGCTGCTTTTTAACATGTCTGTGATATCCACAGACATACGCACAGACGCCACAACTTGAGATACTGAACCACATGGTGATACAGGACATGCAGCGGCAGCGTTTTATAAACTGATGGAATGTTAAGAATACATTTATATGACTCTGTTATTTATTATAATCACATTTTATATGCTGGACATATGTTTGTCAGTCAAATCATAATCTGCTCATAACTATGGGTGTAAAACAAATGTGGTGGTATGGTGGGAATGGAGAACTGGCTCCAGTTGTCTGATCCATCAGAGTCATACATCTCCAAACTTAACAATTCCTTTTATTAATGCTGGCATGTATTGCCAACACATACGCTCTCTCACCTGGCCCGTCGTGTCAAAGTACAACACACTAGTACCCCTCCTTATGCCTGGTATACACTCTGCAATTTTGATGACCAATGTGAAAGAAATGTGGTGATATCTTTAATTGTGGCTCTAAAAAGTTGGTCCTACGTCATACAGTGAGAGACGTTCAAGAATGGCAGTTGTCACGGTCTTGTGATCAAAGACAGCTTGGTATAAAATTCTGACAGTGTCAGGAATCTTGGATGAAGGAATACTTCACACATCTGTTTCCAAACAGGTGCATAAGGAGAGGGACGAGCACAACACAACTTGTAGAAAAACTTGCGCGCGCAGTCTAACTTGCAAAAATCATGATTTTGTTGCTGAGTGTTTCGGTCTGGTGACCGGTCCAGGGTGTACCCCGCCTCTCAGCCAATGTTATCCAGCCAGGATAGGCCCCAGCCCCCCTACGACCCTCAAGAGGAAAAGGGATTGCAGAAAATTGAAATTAAATTATAAATAAATGAATTAAAGAATTACTTTTCTAAAATTTGTCATTGTTATTGACTCTTTTCTGTATGCAATGTTAGGTTCACCCACAAATGACACCTGCTTTGTTGGACTGCAGTTAGTTTTTTGGGGGGCTGTAGGATTTTTTGATAAGAACCCACTTAGTTAGAAGAAGAAACCGTCCAAAGAGTGGCTTCATCACACAAAGAAAGACGATAACAGTGCAGCTGTGATGTCTGTCAAATGATAAGTGAGGCTGGAAACGTCAGCAATATGCTGAAACATCTGTCAGGAATGCCATGTATTTGGTACTCTACGCACAAGCAACACTGCTTCCTTACCAAGTAGCACACCGTCACCAAGGGTAAATATCCTGTTATATTACCATTAGCACCACACAGGCAGGCTGAGCAGACTTCTGACTGGTTCCAGTCAGGAACCAGTTCCAAATCAAATATATATAGTCATATACATGTTTTTTTTCTTTTCGTTTTGACACTTTGTTCAGACTCATATACAGTACAGGCCAAAATTTTGGACACACCTTCTCATTCAATGCGTTTTCTTTATTTTCATGACTATTTACATTGTAGATTCTCACTGAAGGCATCAAAACTATGAATGAACACATGTGGAGTTATATACTTAACAAAAAAAGGTGAAATAACTGAAAACATGTTTTATATTCTAGTTTCTTCAAAATAGCCACCCTTTGCTCTGATTACTGCTTTGCACACTCTTGGCATTCTCTCCATGAGCTTCAAGAGGTAGTCACCTGAAATGGTTTTCCAACAGTCTTGAAGGAGTTCCCAGAGGTGTTTAGCACTTGTTGGCCCCTTTGCCTTCACTCTGCGGTCCAGCTCACCCCAAACCATCTCGATTGGGTTCAGGTCCGGTGACTGTGGAGGCCAGGTCATCTGCCGCAGCACTCCATCACTCTCCTTCTTGGTCAAATAGCCCTTACACAGCCTGGAGGTGTGTTTGGGGTCATTGTCCTGTTGAAAAATAAATGATCGTCCAACTAAACGCAAACCGGATGGGATGGCATGTCGCTGCAGGATGCTGTGGTAGCCATGCTGGTTCAGTGTGCCTTCAATTTTGAATAAATCCCCAACAGTGTCACCAGCAAAACACCCCCACACCATCACACCTCCTCCTCCATGCTTCACAGTGGGAACCAGGCATGTGGAATCCATCCGTTCACCTTTTCTGCGTCTCACAAAGACACGGCGGTTGGAACCAAAGATCTCAAATTTGGACTCATCAGACCAAAGCACAGATTTCCACTGGTCTAATGTCCATTCCTTGTGTTTCTTGGCCCAAACAAATCTCTTCTGCTTGTTGCCTCTCCTTAGCAGTGGTTTCCTAGCAGCTATTTGACCATGAAGGCCTGATTGGCGCAGTCTCCTCTTAACAGTTGTTCTAGAGATGGGTCTGCTGCTAGAACTCTGTGTGGCATTCATCTGGTCTCTGATCTGAGCTGCTGTTAACTTGCGATTTCTGAGGCTGGTGACTCGGATGAACTTATCCTCAGAAGCAGAGGTGACTCTTGGTCTTCCTTTCCTGGGTCGGTCCTCATGTGTGCCAGTTTCGTTGTAGCGCTTGATGGTTTTTGCGACTCCACTTGGGGACACATTTAAAGTTTTTGCAATTTTCCGGACTGACTGACCTTCATTTCTTAAAGTAATGATGGCCACTCGTTTTTCTTTAGTTAGCTGATTGGTTCTTGCCATAATATGAATTTTAACAGTTGTCCAATAGGGCTGTCGGCTGTGTATTAACCTGACTTCTGCACAACACAACTGATGGTCCCAACCCCATTGATAAAGCAAGAAATTCCACTAATTAACCCTGATAAGGCACACCTGTGAAGTGGAAACCATTTCAGGTGACTACCTCTTGAAGCTCATGGAGAGAATGCCAAGAGTGTGCAAAGCAGTAATCAGAGCAAAGGGTGGCTATTTTGAAGAAACTAGAATATAAAACATGTTTTCAGTTATTTCACCTTTTTTTGTTAAGTATATAACTCCACATGTGTTCATTCATAGTTTTGATGCCTTCAGTGAGAATCTACAATGTAAATAGTCATGAAAATAAAGAAAACGCATTGAATGAGAAGGTGTGTCCAAACTTTTGGCCTGTACTGTATGTTAAAAGAGTTGCACTGACACTAAAATCATGCGTAGGCCTAGTCTTTTTCCACACAGAAAACTGATCAGGAATCAATAAGAGAATCAATAAAGAATCAGGCCAGTAAGGAAAACTGATAATGGTATTGATATCAATAAAATCTTATTGAGTCTCATCCCCATGTGGTGGAGTAAAAAGGCAAAAAAAAGCCCATTACTGTAAAATGTAGTGGATTAATTAAGTGATCGATCAGAAAAGTACCTCATAACAATACTTCAAGCCTTCATTTGACATTTTGAGAAAACACTTTATTACAGTCCTGCCAAGAGCTCAGCTACATGAGAAGATTGATACCACTCTCAGTTTTGTAGGATACAGTAAATATGAAGCCACAGTCGGCAGCCGGTTAGCTTAGCTTAGCACAAAGACTAGAAACGAGGGGACACATCTGGCCTGGTTCTGTCCGAAGGTAACAAAATCTACCAACCATCTCTGACAGCATTTCTCATCATTTTGACAATTTTACAAACCAAACAATCAATCGATTCATGGAGAAAATAATCAGCAGATAAATAATAATCACATAATCAACATCAACAGTTTAAAATGAGCTACACCTCAACCAACTACAACAGTAAAATTCTGCTTTTACATTAATGCATGATTCAGAATAATCTAATGAGATCATATTATCATAGTGTAACAGCCACAGGGGACATTTTAATACTTTAGGTACATTGTCCTGATTATACCTACATAGTTTTTACTTAAGAAACATTTCAATGCAGGACTCTAACTTGTAACACAGTGGATGAACCATAACATTGGCACATCATCAGTATGAAAAAGTGGAATGGACCAACATGTTGATTTCTGCTGAAATGACAGACCTCTCTTTTTCTAAAAAAAAAAAAAAAAAAAAAAAAAAAAATATATATATATATATATATATTTAGAATAAGAGAGAGAGATGAGTGGTTGCTCTGTCTAATCAAACGTAGCTCATGGAGAACGGGAAATAACAAAACACACAGAAAGGCAATCCAGGTACTCAAAAAAAATATATATATAGGAAAGAGGAGGGAGGTATTTAAAGAGCCTTCACTGTAGTGGCTAAATCATTAGAAGGTCTTTGTCAGGGCTTTAAAAATGACAAATATCAAATATCTTAAACCAGCAAAAAGTAAAACACTTGAGAAAACAAAAGGCTGTGAATTATTATTTTCCTTGGAGCTTTTCAAGGTTTAAAGGAAACATTCTTTATAAATGCATATAAATCAGAAATGAAATGAAATAACAGTGCAAACACAGATAGGCTACATGGTCATAAACCAGGGTATCACATAAGTCGGCCAACATAAATTAAAATACACATAAAAATAAAGATAAACCAGGGTGCAAGCGCACAGGTACAGAGGTATATTCAGACAGAGGATTCAGTGAAGGAAGTCACATCATTTTTCTATAATATATGGATATATCGATATTGGTATCGATTATGGACCATATGTGTTATGACCAGTATACCAGACACTCAGTGACTCAGTGGTTAGAGTGGGTGTCCCATGTAGAGGGGCAGTGATCTTGCCACAGTAGACGTGGGTTTGATTCCAGCCATAGCCTACCTTATTCCTGAGGGCACTACAGTAGAAATGATTATGCGGGCAACTTCCTGTGACATAAAGGAAGTAGCAGTAAGCTAGTTAGTCCCATAGACTGTCTGTGGTAAGTCCCAGTGGCTACTCTTGGTGGCTAATCGCCAATGCTGGTTCTTTTCCAAAGTAATTTGCCTTCAGTTTAGCAAATATCGATTTATTTTTTGACAAATATTGAACTAATGTTAACTTAGCATTTTCTAAAATGCCTCTGCGGAGCTCTGGTACCTGTTGCACTGTCCGTGTCTGTAACAAATAACAACCAGTCTGAGCTACATTTTTGTCGTCAGCAACTGTGTGTTGAACATGTGACCAGAACAAAAAGGGATTGTTCCTGTTGCCATGGTTACCATTGATCTGAGAAATAAAACCACAAGACACAAGACATAGCGAAAAAGTATTAAATCAGAATAATCAAAAGAGATTAGACTGACAGGTCAGTCACTCAGCATCAGTACGATATCCCCGTCTTTCCCCGTCTGCCTTCATTCTCAACCTACATTAGAAAATAAACTGTGAAATATGTATTTAGTCATTAGGGATGAGAATGTGTCACTGATTTACTGTACCGCCTCAAGTTATCAACATCACATTTATTCACTTTACATGGAGCTACAGTTAATACTGAATCATGTGTTAGTATCTCTTAGTAAGTCGTCAGAAATCATAAATCATCTTTGGAAGGAGCAGATGTTACCTTAAGCTAGCTCGGGACATGTTAAAGTTAATAATATTTTAACGGAGCAAGGCGAGCTAATTGAGCGTGCTCGGTTGCTTTGAGATGGCTGTCAGAGATGGCAGAGGAATGATCACATGATTCTGTTTGAGCTATAACAGGTGGTGTGTTCCACGTTTTATTTCCCAGTTGATCTTGGAAAGAAGAAAAGAGGACTGTAAACAAACTGTTACCATTGGAAACCGCCAGTTTCAGTTCAATGCTGGAAGTTGCACCCATAATTCACGCAAGGCATCATGGGGGCTAGGAATAAGGTGGAAACCAATGCAATCCTGCTTGGGACTTGACTTTTTAAGTGCATCGACTTGTGACTTACTTGTGACTTGAAAATGACTTTGACCTCTGGTACCTTTACAAAGAATCTTAATGTTTCTCCAACAATGCTAAGCTATGCTAACTGCCTGCTGGCTGCAGATACATCATGACAGTGGTTTCAATCTCATCTAAAGAGCAAATAAGCACATTTCCCAAAATTCAGTGCGCTACTTAAAAATTAAATTTCAGGCTCAAGCATAAATGGATTTATCACCGTTAGCCACCATGGAAATGCAGAATAAGTGTCCCAGTTAAAGTGAATTCAGCCAACAGGCCCTGTGATGCAGGCTCAAAGGTGTGTAGGGGTGATAAGGTAGCGCTCCTTATCGTGACCTTGAGGACTTTGTGCCCCAGAAGAAATCTGTGTGTGAATTAGGAGTTTGTAGCAGAAGAAAACACCGATAAGCTGCTTCTACCACACACATAAAGCCCTCACAATAGGAGGACCCCGCCAGACTGAGACTCTAATTGAGCTCCCTCCCCCCTCCTCTCCTCCCTCCTCCCTCCTCTCCTCCCTCCTGCCTCCTCCTCTCCTCAGTCTCCTCCGGGTCTGCTGCCTGCAACTTCTCGTCGACGCACCACTTGAGAGAGTATTTCGGACTGGATACGGAAAGCAGCAGAACATGGCTCTCCTGCAAACAACGTTTCTCCCGCTGTTCCTCCACATGTGCCTCCTCAGCTGGAGCGGTGAGTTTAATAAAACACGATATTTTAAATAAGTTTTTAGTGAAGGTGGAGACCCGTTGAGTTTGAATGGGACCGCAGCGTGTGGCTTGTCTTGGATGCTCCCACCAAATGTGACATTTCCAAAGGTTTTCTCTTGGTTAACTTAACAGACGCACAGTTTCTCATTGATAATGTGCTTTTTGGTTAATTATATGTGTTATAAGTCTATCAGCTGCTTTTCGCTTCGGCAGTGAATTTGAAGGCTTATTTACATACAGCTGAATAGACGCATGTTGAATTTGACACTTTTTTTATCCCTTATTTTCGTTTGTTTCCACTCGAGTCGTTAAATATTTAAAGGTGTAATCAATTACCGCGTAATTACCGGGTCAGTTGACCCACCAACACGGAGCTGGACGCTATGTGTGAGCTTATATCTGCATGTGACGGTGTTTTTTTTAAAAAGCTTGTGTCACAGAGTCTGTGTAAGTTATTAAAGGTTTAACAAGACTGCTGTGAACATCTGAAGGAACCACAGACCGCAGGACCAAACTCTGCTTAGTTTAGAGTCTTTGTGAGGTTTCTCATCAGTTGAATAGAAATGTCAGGGGTTGATTTCTTCACTGATGTTAAGAAAAGCCTATGGTGTCCTTTGGTAGTGAAAAATGTGCATCCTAGTTTCCTTGAGTCCAAGGATACATCCTCAAATGTCTTTTTTGGTCCCAAAATCCAATTTAGGGCTGCAGGGTATGAGGAAACTATGCAATAACATTGTTGAATATCATCATAACGATATTACTCAGTTCAAACTCATACGTGGACACTGCGTCCTCATATGAGGACATCACATTTTGGGTTTCCTGCACCTTATACTTTATTCTTCTTAACTTAGACCTGTTGTCCTCGTTCGTGGACCTTTTTTGTGCCATCTAGTGGTAATGAGTATGGAAGCATATTGATGCCAAGTAGGGGTGGGTGATATGGTCCTAAAAAGGTATCACAAAAACAAAACAAAAATGATCTCTCATGTCTTTAGTTTGTGAACAACAACAGTAACTCAGAGTGAGATTCAGATTCTGTTACAATATTAATAAAATCTACCACAAATTACACATTTAAACAGCTCCCAAATACAAAAAATGGCCCCTTGGATCTATATATATAAATCAACAGATGATTTACTTCTTTTAGTAAAATCCTAAATGATTGAGTTGTTTTTTTTCCACCTGGACCTTTATGCTCTGCCATTTCTCCTCTAATCATCACGCTGTAACCTGTGACAGGCTGTTATGATACCACAACTACCACATATATACACATATGCAGTTTTTTCATGTAGGTTAACATTACCAAAGGTTTAGGACAAAATCAGACAGAGAAGAGGGAGAGACGCTGTGCTGCTGCCAGAGGAGCTGCTGAATGAGTTCCCTCTGAGCGGTAAGTCGCTAAAAGAGTCTGAGAAGTCCGGGGCTGTTCATAAAACATTCAGGACGCCACAGTTTCTTCCACACTACTGAAGCTGCTCTTTTTTTTGGAACCACCCCGTAGTCGGTAATAATTTAGTTTTCAGCCATGCTTGTTGTTGCCGTGGGTAACAGTATGACATCAATATGTCAACAAGTCGAAATATCGCAAGTATCACAATATAAATTTTTCATATCAGATTAAAAATTATTCCGGTATTATCGTGAACGAAATGATATGGCACACCCCTAGACAGATGTAGAGTCCCAAAATCCAATTTACGGGCTGCAGGGTATGAGGAAAATATCTGATAACATAATTGAATATCGCGATAATGATATTACTTGTGATAAATAAACAGGTAGTAAAATGTACTCAGTTCTGGACTCACATGAGGACATCACATTTTGGGTTTCCTGCACCTTATACTTAATTCTGCTTAACTCAGACCTGTTGTCCTCATTCGTGAACACTATTTTGTGCCATCTAGTGATAATGGGTATGGAAGCAAACTCTTTAAGGCAGACGTCATATTCGCTGATGGATTACCTACGGACAACAAAACATAAACCTTCCTCCGTCTCCATGTAGCATCTCACAACAGGACAACACTCACTCTGTCCTGACCTTAAACCTCTTCTTCTCCCAAATCCCTGTTTTTCTACCCATCAGCCCTGTCTTAATTGGTTTACCGCTATTTAATCCTCATCTCCCCTCTACCTCCTCTGGAGACAAAGTAAAGCTGTCTGTTTTTGGATTAGGATTGTTGGTTGGTGATAGAGACCTCGGCCATCTGAAGAGCTTCCAAACCAGGCTCTGTCAAAACTGACCTCCTCCCTAATGGGCCTTGAAGGGCACTTACTCGAATACAATTTGTGGCTAAAAGCATCTCTCCTGCATGGAAATAAACCCATCCTGACTATGACAAGAAACTGTAACATGTTGCTTAGCTGATGTAGAGTACACCAACCTCCGTATTGATCCCACAGCCCAGTGTTCATCAGTATGATGGGCATGTTGTGTTACAGGAATGGCCAAGTGGTCCGAGCAGTGTGGTTGTGCAGTAAATCAGAGCAGCAGCAGACATTTACAGAACAGAAAGTAGACATGTGCTTACTTCATCCATGCTCTGTAATCTAACAAGGCTTTTTCCTGCAGTGCATTTGAGGTTTTTGTTGTGTAAAATGTCCTTTGCAATTAAAAATGCATTCAGATGCATGAATCACAGTCTGATACAAGAACGATACAGATACATTTGTAATGACATGTAAGTAGGATTTGATGTTTTTAACTGCAGTGTATCCTCATAGAACGGTTCGTATCATATCTTATGAATTGGTGCCCCACGAATAATGTTATGTCCTTAACATAAAGTTGTGTAATTAATGTAAAGTTATGGAGGTTAGGTTTAGGAAAAGAAACATGGTGAGGAAGTACCTTAAAATGACTCGAACCTCACACGGTTACATCCATGCGTCTCCAGGGGACAGTCTAGGGGGATGGTTCATGTTTTTCTGACCTATCTACCACCCCAACCTGCATCTTATGAGACTCGAGACTGCTTCCTTGTTCATAAGCGCATTGGTCACGTGATTGAACACTGTCAAAATATGTGGGATGTGTATGAATTTAGGTGCATTCCTTATGAGAACAGCCTGTTCTTAGTACAAGTACTCATCCAGAGGTACCCTAGAACATTATGTCTACTGCCACACCAGCAATAGGTGATATGGGCAGTGATACTTGGGCTAACCCAAGAGGGACGAGTGATTTGCTTCCACACTGTGCTGCCCATAGAGCAAGCGCACTAAATACTTACGGCTACTCCTCTGGTTAAGTGCTTTGTTACCTTGAATGAGGATAAAGTTATTCAGTCATGTGGCTTTTCTAGACTTTCCAAATGTTATCGGAAGGAATGAGTCATTTTGTGACACTCAAAAAAATTAATCAGCTAATTTATAAACGTCTCTTTCGCCATATATGTCAATGGGAAAAAGTATTTTTTGGCCGCAGGGCATCATGTGACGGACCCAGCAGTTGAAATCCACTGTTTGGCCACTACGAAAATTGGCTGTTGTAGTTACTAGCCACTCTGTAACGAGCATTGTTGAAGAACACAGATTTTTTATGTGAAACTGCTTTATTTAGTGTTTTTACTGTTTCAAATGAAAACCTCCTGAAAAATGAACTTTGAAGGAATTCTAACTTGAGCTCTGATTCTCTGCCCAACCCGCAGGGTTTAGGCTTGGCCAGGGGGGACTGTAATTTCTCGTTGTTTCCCCAGTCTTGAATTGGGTTGGGTTTGCCAAGTTACTGGGGTGTTTTTTTTAAACTGGCAGTTCTCGTCCGCACATTTTTTTTTCTTAAGTAGAAATTGGGGTTTGTAATCGGGCTCGGGCTCAAAACTGCCATGGGTCAGGCTGGGGTTCATGTAAGGTTGGGCCTGATCCTTTTTGGGCTGGATCAGAGTCCTAGTTTACACCCAGAATTCTCAATTGGCACATGGGAGAAGTTACAGCTTATGGCCTAATTGGCTTTAAATGTTGGTGATATTCTAGATTGTCCCTATTGTCAGTTAATCCCATTAAACGCTCCAAATCAGCATCAAATTGGTTCCACTAACAAGTATTGTCTGTGTGAAGCCTGATACAGAGTCTGCCTTTGTACCATAGAGCTCCATCATTATCCACAAACTATTAAAAACACAGTGAGCCACACTGTTGTACTGGGTGACAAGTTTCTTTATTACCATGAAACAAGGCCAGCATACTGCTACTGTTATAGGTCATCAGATGTGTATTAATCCACAGCTGAAAATAGTCCTACTCCTGTTTGTTGAAAACCACAGTGACCAGCTGTTTTAGGAAATTATTGAACCTTTTTTTAAAAACAAAACTATATTTTGGTGACGCATTATTAAAGATTTGCATATTCAGTCGGAATACAAGGGCTTGGGGCTGAGAGAGAGTTAAGCCAAGAAAGCATCAAGAGACACACAGACACATGGTTAGTGTGGGTCGCACCAGCAGGAGGCATTTTGTTCACAGGTGGTCCATCCGTCCTTTGTCCCATTCTCATGAAAGCAGTATTTCAAGAATGTCTTACAGGATTTCTTTTTAAGAATTCAGCACAACTGTCAACTTGGACTCAATAGTGAATTTCTTAGATTTTGGTGGCCAAAGGTCAAGGTCACTGTGACCTTGTCTGTCTCATTTTCGTGAACGTGATGTCTCAAGAACACATTGAAGGCATTAACTCAAATTTGGCACAAACGTCCACTTGGACTCAACAATGAACTTAATAGATGTAAGTGGTCTTAGGTCAAAGGTCAAGGTCACTGTGACCTCATCTGTCATTCTTGTTCATTCTCATGAACACGATATCTCAAGAACGCCTTGAAAGAATTTCCTCAAATTTGACACAAACGTCCACTTGGACTTTATGATGAACTGATTGGAATTTGGTGGTCAAAGGTCAAGGTCACATCAACCCTCTCTATCACATTCTCAAGAACACGAAATCTCAAAAACGGCTTGAGGGACTTTCCTCAAATTTGG